GTGCGGACTTCAACTCCCAGAATCCCCCAGCTGGCTAGGGAATTCTGGGAGTTGAAGTCCGCACATCTTAAAGTTACCAAGGTTGAGAAACACTGCTCTAAGGAAACACACCAAGCTCAAGATAGATTTCTTTTTGGAGACAATCCTGGAATGAACAGACTTATGGACGATACCATATACATAGCTCCACTCGATCTGGTTTAGATACTCTGGAAGTTTACCTCAAATATTTTCTCAAAATGCTGAAATTCTTGGAACCGTGTCTGAAACCCCTCGGCGATTGCACCACCTACAAGAGCACAAAACAGAGCTGATGAACAGAAATTTTCTGAAATCACGTGAGTCTTTTTAAGCACTTCTTAAACACTTTCCCCAGTGTTTCTGGGGGAAAAAACTGCCAACCTTTTAAAAGTGTTAAGGACCATCACCACGAGGAAGTGGACCTAACATCAAATACACACCTCCCTCAGGCATGCCCTGAGCTTTGTGTTTCCTTGCACTGAGGACTTCCTTGGCTGAAACAAAGAAAATTCGATTTTGGGCTTCAGAATGATCCACAACTCTAAGCTCATCCACCAAGAAAGTCAGGCAACGCTCCATGTGCTGTTTGCGTACCTGCAGAATGACAACAATAGTGCATAGGACCAGGAATCAGACTCACATACATTTACAAAACACAAATCAGCAACTCAAAGCTACAAACAAACAGCCTCTCTAGGTGAATTCCTATGTTTGGAGGTTACCGAGGATACCTATCTCCATTTGTAACACATAGTCTGACTTTATGTTTCTCCCTAATTTGTTCATACTATGTATTCCCCCATTCCTGCCTGTAGTTAGTGATGTGGAAGATTAAAAACACAATAATGCCAATCAGTGGTGGGGCAAGTTTTTTCATTATTAGAACTGTGCTTCAGATTTGACCTCCATAAGGTGGTTCGGGAGACATGTGAGCGCTGTCTCTGATACCTCAAACCAGCTGCATGTTTTTTCAGGATTGCATGGCCCTGTTGATGAACCATGTTGCAGACAAGTGCTACAACTGTGCTCCTGCAACCACTGAAGCACTTTTTGGAGATCAAGGCTGAAGCACTGCACAGTCCTATTGTATACTGCGGGGTCTGAGAACTAGATTAAGGGCTCCTGGAGAAAATGGCAGCCTTGCATTACTCTGTCTACAGAAATATTGCTCTGAATCCAATTATTTTGCCTCTGATTAGACTGCAACAATACTAAAGGAGGTATCCTCAAACATTTTGATAAGGGGAAAAAAAGCCACACCAGCATATGAATTAAAAAGCTGTACTGAAAACTCACAAAAAGTGAAAGAGCTTTTCTCTCATGACAACACTTATCTTTTAAGGTTCGAAACATTTGGAAAGGAATGCAACATTCTACCACTCAAAGAAAAGTAATCACATCTTGAGATAGGTAAAGTAAATGCAGAAAACAAGAAAGAGGAGGGTAGAAAGTGAGAGTGCAAGCAAACTGAGGCATCACTTTTGAATGATACGGAATAAAATTCTTGTTCATTTATGGGATTGACTTCATAGACCCATGGCTGGCTGGGGAATTCTGGGAGTTGAAGTCCACATGTCTTAAAGTTGCTGAGATTAAGAAACACTGTCATAGACACTATGAACCACCCAGACTGGTGGGGACAAAAAAAAAAAAAAAAAACCCAAAAAAG